AACCGTTTCAAAAATATGCATCAGATGTCCAAATGGACGGTTTCCATCCAGTTGACAATTATTTGACCAAGAATAATAGATTTGGACCAATTTTGACAAAATGAGGAGGGGTAAAATGGTAACTTGACAATTTTCTTATTAAATAAATTTAAAAAAACAAATACAAAAAACTTGCAATTTCTCCTTCCCGGCAACAATAGTACCAACACCACCACCGACACACTGTTGGTACCACCACTGCCACCGTCGTCGCCTCCTACCACCACCACCACGCGGAGCGTGTAGCAGCACATAACACAGCCCACTCATCATTCTTCCACCACAAATTCGTCATTTATCTCGACCTTGCCGCCACCCTCCACTAGCTTCGAGAAGTCTTCTAGCCCTAACATTCCATCGCCATCAGCATCCAAAGATTGCACCACCATTTTCGCTACAGCCCTCACGCACCCCATCCCCACATTCCAAAAACAATCCATTAAATTTCCTGAAAAAACCAACCCCAATCCTCGCTGTCGCAGCCGCGCCACCTTCATTCGCTTCACCTCTACCCACAGCAAGTTCTGCCCATTACAGCCTTTGTTAGTTATTTACAAAAACCTAAAATTAATGGCTTTTGCAGCAAAACAATTCTATTCATCTGCTGCATTTTCTAATCATTTGCAGCGTAAGAATTTGCCGTCCAAACCCCATTTTTCATCATTTATTCCCAATCAAGTTGTTGGGAGAAAATGTGAAAAGCCAAATGTTTTAGCCTGCAGAAAGCGTTTGTACATTTCAGCAGTAACTGGATATATTGGTGAACCAGAGAATTTGAGACCTCGAGACTCTACAATCCAGTGCAATGCGTATGAAGCTCATCGAGCGCAACCCTCTCTTCTCATGCTGGTTTCTTGGGCTACAAAGAACGAAGGATTGACATGGTTAGTTGGTGGCGATGGTCGGCCGGCAACTGCTTGAGAGTGTATTTGATTTTTGGGTAAGAAGATTGGGGAAGATTGAAAGAAGAAGATGGGTTTTATTTTTCATTTTTTGTTTTTTTATATTAAAATTATAAAGTTACCATTTTACCCTTTATTTATTTGGTCAAATTTATTAAAATTTTAATTTTTGAGGTCAATTGACGGTTTTTTGGGTCAAACTGAAAAAAACCGTCAATTTGGACTTGCACTGCGTTTTTTTTTTTTTAAGGTTTGGTACCTACGGTGGCACAAAACAAATGTTCGGGCAAAGTCTGCAAAAAAGTAAAAGGTTTGGTATCGTGGCTACAATTTTTCCTTTTTTTTTTAATAAAAAGTGACATAATTAAAACGGTGACATAATGTCACTTCTTTTTAACATGCTAGCCGCTTTTATGTCATTTGCCATAATCGGGGTCGAACCTATCCTACTACTCTAAGGTCAAAGTACACTATATTATTATCTATTTGATATTACAATGCATATATTGTTCTAGTAAGGTTTAGAGGAAGGAAGTATCTACTAACCATCTAGTTTCACAAGGCATGGCATAAACAGTAATCAAAAGAAGTGACATAATGCCACCTTTTTAACAAAAAGTGACACTATATGTTATTAAGCATGCTTTTCTAAATATGGGTTTTTGTGAAGTTTTGAACATATTTTCTTTACAATGTCAATGAAGCGGGGATATTGTTGATGTAATTGATCAATATTAGTATTAGTGTTCAAGAATTGCAATATGTTACCTAACTATAACATGTTTGTAGCTTTTAACATGTCAAAAAAAAGTGGCATAATGAAACATTTTTAACAAAAAAGTTACACCGTGTAACCTTTTTAACAAAAAGTGATATTATGTCACTGGTTGTGGTAGTTTGATATTTTATATTCATTCTAAA